ACTGCAGCATGTCAGTAACATCAGCTTCTCCAGCACACAGAGATGGTCAAACTCCATCCAGCCATCCTGCCATTTTCCTCTGCTTATCCATTTGAGGAGTGGGGTGGAGTCTATCCAGCTGCAACAGGGCAAGAGGCGAGGTACACCTTGTGTCAGCACTTTGGCCAACATTTGATGTCTTTTAAATGTGCTATGCAAACAAAGCTGACTCAACTTGACTTGTGTTTGTTTTGGATTTCTATCTGAGTGAAATCATTAAATCTCTGCTGTTCCAGCTTCCTGTTAACAAAGGGAAAGATGTTTGTTCTTCAGCAGATGGACGAGATTTGTTTTGATGTTTTTATTGCTTTTAGATAAGAAGAGCTCCAGTTACATAATGTGGAGCTATATCACATTAGCCTTGCTAGTAAACAGTCTATTAATAATTTGCTTTACAAATCTGCAGGAGCTGTGATTGTTATGTTCACCTGTCGGAGTGACGGTGCGACAGGGTCTCTGTAAAGCTGCTCGTCTTCACTGCAGGCGTGAAAAGACCTGAGGCATCCTCAGAAGTCCAAACATAACGCTCCAATCCTGCCCGGTGCTCTCAGACTGTTCTTTGTATGAAAGAAGGGGAAGGCTGCTGAAAGCTGCCTAACACTGCAGGACACTTTCGACCTCCCATGGAAATGATTTTACCAGCCTGCATGCAAACAGCTACAGCTGCAAATGAGGCGAAAAGCAGCAAAGATGGGGAGAAATGAGCCTGTGGGTGTTTTTCCTCCAGCAAAGACGAGTCAGAGCATACCTATCCAAGATCACTGAGTCATGATGACGCTTTCTGGTGGAATTATTGAAAGGTTTTCAAAGCTGCAGAAACCAGAAGCCCGAAGCTCAAAATATGAGCATTAAAATCAGCTCCCGGTGTAGAAATCAGCAGCTTTTAATGTCCCGGATTGGAAAATGGGACTTCCTAACCATCTACATGACCGCAGACAGCAGCACACAGTAAGCTCTATGCAGTACAATCCCAGCAGGCGATCGCACCAAGGCGTCATTCTTCTGTTTGTGTGACACATTTAAGGCATGATCCAAACATTTCAGGGGCAGATCCAGGACACCATGGAGAGATCCAGTCTCTCAGCTGACGGGGAACACCTCAGTGTCCCAACCACCGCGTCACGCTCCACCCGTGTCCTGACATTAACCTTTGTGCTCACCTGCAGAGACTGGCCTGCTTACAGCCGGCTGCAGGACCAGTTCTGCTCACTGTAGACATTCATGACGCTGCTATAATGAAACATATCTGGATCACTGTCCTCGGAAACGAACACAGCACACAAATTACTCGGATTTACGTGGTCATGAATGTGTGGCAGCTGGTATAGATGATAACAAATTTTCATTATCAGCAGTGAGAGCACTGCTCTGTTCTCCATGTTCTCTGTAATATCACAGCACACGGCTCAGCCACAGCTGTCAAAGTCTGGCTTCAATCACTGCCTCGGCGTCTCTGCAACTTCAGTTCATCACAGCTGAAACTCATTCAACCTGCAAAAAGCAGCGGCGGAAGGGCGGCAGCAGGGCGGCGGCAGAGCGGCGGCAGAGCGGCCCAAGGAGCTCTGAGCACGATGACACACACAC